CTAAGTACAATTTAATTAAGTAAAAGTGATTTATTTGTGCCAAAATAACTTGTTCTGTATAGCAATAAGGATGTATAGCCAGAGTTAGAGCATCATGTTACTAAAATTGTTCGGTAAAATAAAACAAAACCAGTCCGACCGCGATAAATACGAGAACATACTCTAATTTGATAGAAATAAGGCCTAGAAGTGTAGTATTCGTGGACTACGCTTCAATATCAATTAGGGTGCCTATAGGGAGCCTTCTGGGAGCGATGGGCGAAATGTTCGAATTAGTTGATTACACTGGCTTGGCTACTTTCTTGTTACATTTGAATTCTAATTTTGTCAAATTGTTATATTATGCTGTGTGTTAATTTATATATAATAAATAGCGACTCACCCTCGCTCCGCTCGGGTTTGTCCCTACTTACGTTTTAACGTTTAGTATAAATTTCTCAGAAATAAGAATTTCGCAGTAAAAAATATCCTATATGTTGACCCGGATAACCAGCTATCATCATACCAAATTTCATTAAAATCCCTCCACTGGATTTTCCGTGATGCAGTCACAGACAGACAGACAAAAATCTAAAAACTATAGATTCGGTCTCTGTATCGATGATAATGTCTATTTCAATAAGATTTTCTAAGAAATATTTAATGTACAGATTCGGCTTAGTCACAATTTTATTATATGTATAGATAGATGATATTAATTTTTAATCATAATTGCAAATAATTGAAGATTTTCCGATTTTTGTATCTTTATGTTTGTTACGGGATATTTTCATAAAAAATATTTTCATTATATTTTTATGGATAGCCTATGATGCATCGAGAAAAAAATAATCTATATTTTGACTTTGTGAAAAAAAATGTGAAAAAATATATAATTAAGATGTAATAGAATCCAACACAAGGTTTTTAGAATTTTTATCTGTACATTTCCTTCACTTCCCAAAAATACGAACAACTGAAAGGACTTAAATCTGATTCATTTTATTGTAAACAATTATAAGGTTCCTAGATCGCCAAAGAAAATACAGTCCAGTACTTTTTGATCCTCTGTTTATCTACTTTTTTACTTTTTCTTTGTTTAGCAGTTATTACTGAGCTTTAGTTTTAGATAGATAAATTCTATTTCTATATGTCTCCCTCAAATTTTCAATAATGATTATAACAGGATTCTAACCACTAGTAATGATTGTAGTGTAAAATCATTACTAGAGATGACCATTACTAAAGCAAGACTACTTAAAAACACACACACTTTTATTATGTCCTTTCTATTTGAAGTCGGGCAGAAATGTTTATGTAAAAAAAATCACAATCAGAACGGACCCTAATATTTTTTTGAATAGAGATAAATTATAATCATGCCGAAAGAAATTCCCGTGGGAATCACGTTAGTTTTTTAGTTAGCAAAATAAGAACTTAGCGAAGCAAGGAATAATAAATAAATAAATATGTTGGGACATTACGACACAGCACCATCTAGTTCCATGGTAAGCTAAGAGGCTTGTGTTATGGATACCAGATAGTTGATACACTACACATATATAACTTTAAATACATACATATTATAAATATAAACACCCATGACTGGAGTACAAACATTCGTGCTCATCGCACAAATGAATGCCTCCAGCGGGATTCGAACCCGCGACCGCTGGCACATCAAGTAGGGTCACTACAAACTGAGCCAAACGTGTCGTAAAAATAATAATTAGTTTTAACAACTTCGACGCGGTACGCTTTAAAACTATACCATTATCGTAATTCTAGAACCTATTTTATTAATAGAAGCTCGTAACTATAAAAATCTCTTAGGAAATGAAGTAACTAAAGTTATTTGGAAAGCTTTTAACTATATCCTCAACCAACGCCACTTAGATTTATATAGCCTTTGGGTAATATGCACTTTAATATTTTTTTATAATACGGTGAAATAAGATTTTCTGAAACTTAAAATTTAAATTTGAAAATCAAAAACTGGATAGGTTTTAGAAAGCTGTACATAAATTTTTCCAACTCAATATTATCTCACACTATAATTATTTAGATGAAGCTACTTGTATTTGTTTAAAGAAGTAGAAAATAATATGAAATTATTATTAAAAAAATATTGGCTATTTTTATAGTGTACATAAGAGTGGAGCCGCATGCAATAACAAGTATATTTATTTTCTCATCTGACTTCATTAGATTTAATAACTTTCACTATAAATTTTAGCAAAGGTAGCTACTAACATTAACATGATTTTCGTGAAATAAAATCTCTATAACAATTTTATTAGCAAAGTTTGTTATCTAGGAATTAAAGGCACGTGAAGGTGGGCTACAGTAACTTTAATAAATAAACTTACCAAAATATCAGACTATAAAAAAAACAAAAGTTTGTAAAGTATGTTTGTGTGTATGTTTAATAATTTGTTTATGCTTCACGCTGGAATGGCTGTTTAAATTTTAGTGCACAGATAGCCTGGCTGTATGGATGCTCTTAAGCATCACTAATCCGAGCAAGACGAGTGGAAGTCGCTAGTTGCTCTAATGTTCTGCAATCACAATGCGACTTATTAGCTGCGCAGGTCATAAATTATAGTGCATAATTCGGTAAAAACTGAAGTGCACTTTTTATTCCTTCAACTCACATATTATATTGGGAAGATGATTTGACACAAGCGGTGTTATATCCGAGGTACGGGTATACAGAGGGTTTCCAACTCCTGAGTTTTGTTTGTAACCTGTATCTACTTTGGCTCGACTCTTTTGAACTCACAACCTACTGTGCTAATTACTTACTAAAATAACGAGAGATTACTTACTCTGTGTTTATATTTCTTGATAAATGTTAACAAGATTTACATACGAGTATATACATACATTGCTCACTTCTTGCTATTTCATGGGAGGCTACAATTTTACCTCTTCATATACGCTCGTCGTTTTTAATGCAGGACCATTATAATGTAATTTATTCTAAATAAGTTTTTTTATATATTATATAAAATATTACATTTACGTACATATATGCCGCCACCTCCCATATATTTTTGGAAAACTTCCATCTCTAAGGATTTTTTTAAGTGATTAATAAGTCTGAAGACATTCTATTTTACAAATGTTCTAGTCGACATTAAAATTTTAATATAGAAAATAATACAAGTTTCTTCATACAATAATACAATTCAATAAGCTAGATCATAAACTCTCAAAGACACGATTCAACTGATTTCCCATAGGACGCACTGTCAATATGACATTAAAACTAGCATTCTTACCAGATATTAAAATGGATATTATAGTATTTGGTTAAAATGCTTTCTATACATCACCTAGCAACTTATCCCCTTATCGCTCGGGTGCGTCCCGAGGTACATATTAATGACGTGTGTTCATACTTAATTTTCCCAAGAAAATGATAGATTTTACTGTACTAATAGTTTTGTGTAGTAAATAATTGTTTTTTTTTTGTATAGGACCAGCGCCCTAACGATGGAATCAGTGACTGAGTTTTCCCGTGGGCATGGGAGGTTTTCCTATATTAAAAGGAATGCTAAATGTCCCAAGTAATAAGAAATCGCTACACAATATTTAATTAAAATCCGTTCAGTAACTACTTTTTGCGTGAAAATCAAAGAGATAAACAGACAAAATTTCAATAACTATGGTTTTGGATTTTATATTCTATACAAAACACGTACCTAACACTCATTGTTTGTAAAAAAATATTTTTTGCATTTTTATTATATGTATAGATATAGATTAAGTACATTCGTAAGTATACGTATATATATATATATATATATATATATATATATATATATATATATATACGTATACCTACGTAAAATATTGCTATTTTTGCCTCTCATCAAAAACGCAGCAGATCTATGTGAGTTTTTCTATATACAGACATCATTTACTGTCTGAAGATCAGGTTCTGGACAATTGAATGTGAAAAAACCAACTAATTCATAAAACAATAATTATACAATGTACATACATATTATATTAACTAAAATCTGTTCGCAAAGATCAAATATTAGTAAATTGTCCTTGTAACTAACTCTAATGAAAGTTAGAGGATAACGTCAAATGCTAATTTAATTAGAAACGCTAATCTATTTTAATGAAATTGTTATATAAAATTAACAAACTATAGCTTTTTAGTCAGTATAATAACGAAGTGGTATTTGATAGTATTATCTCAGTCTACTTCGCACAGTATAACGAAGGACGTGCAAGGTGAAACCTGTTAACGTTTTTTATATGACATTTAGTGTAACATGTTCTAATAAAATACAATTTATAATCTATACGTAAAAAAATTGTAACCAAGCCGAATATGTACATTAAATATTTTTTGTTTTGGAAAATCTTATTGAAATAAACATTATTATCGACACAGAGGCCGAATCTATAGTTTTTAGTATTTTTGTCTGTCTATTAGTCTATCTCTCTGTTACCGCATCACAGAAAAACTACTGAAGGGATTTTGATTACCGTGGGAAAATGTCTCATTTCTGTTAAAAAATACAAAAACTGCAATGTAAGAGTATACTAATATGCAAAACCTAAGAATTTGGTTTTTGGTCATCTGAACGCGGGCGAAGCCGCGGGCAATGCTAGTTTAATATACTTTCATAATCTTATTTAACCGACCAATCTCCTTAGTGTCTTCTCTATTCTACGTAACATTGGCGAAGTAATCTATGCTCAACTGACACTCTTTGAAGCCATTAACAAGAAACTGAATTGAATAAAATACAAAGACTTATTAAGTATTTGTGTTAAAATATTTATTAATTTTGCCGTTATATGGACCTTGGACATCAAAATATCAACAGCTGACGGTATATTACCACGACGTCGCGTCTTCCTTGCCACAGGATACTATTCTTAGATGCGATAAACACACTTATTGTTAACGATAACGTACTTAATTAATCTTATTTTATATTTACGTCTTGTAATTGTTATCAAAAAATATTGCTTATTAATAGTACCACCAACTAGTTAAATTTATAATCCTCTAAGTTAGTTTCGCATGCCAAACATATCTTTTCTACTGTATAGGGCCCATCTGAAAGAAAAAAAACACACGATAAAAATGACTCAAAAATTACTGTATAACTGACTACTGACTCATCCTCACTTCGCTCGGGTTCTTTCCTAGTAAAAATTTGGGTTTGTATATATTTTTTGATGCCTAATCATAAAAGATATGAAAATAAAAAAAAATGTCCAAAAAATAAAAAAAAATATTTTTTTTGGGATGGACCACCCGTATATAGGGGTGTAAAAATAAAAAAACTACGTTTAAAAAAAACCGACTTCAAAAACTAAAAAGTATAAAATACCTTAATAAAGATTTATTTTAATACACCTCTTATGCAAACCTAATACCTTTAATATTAATAAAATACTATTATTTTTGTATGTGCTACCTATTGATAGGATTGAAGTTGGTGCCAAGCCAAATGTACTAGTTGGTATCTACACTCGCCGCGATCTCAGAAATCTATACTATATAATAAAATCCTCACTGAGCCGAAACTGTACATTAAATATTTTTCTAGAAAAACTTATTGTAATTGTCATTATTATGGATACAGAAGCCGAATCCATCGTTTTAGATTTTTTTCCTATCCTTCTGTCTGCCTGTCTGGGAACGCATCACAAGAAAACCACTGGAACGATTTTGATGAAATTTGATATGAGGAAAGCTAGTTATACAGGTCAACATTAAGGATATTTTTTACTGCAGGAAAATATCTCATCTCTGAGAAATCCATCCTAACCGTTAAAACGTAGGGACGAACTCGAGCGGAACGAAGGTGAGTCACTAGTATAAAATAAATATGTTTTAAAATACCTAATAAATTCTAACAAATGAGATACAAAGAAAATAAAATTATCATTCAAGAACCTTAAACAACGTTGAATATTACCTATTTGAAACCACTGATTCGTAGGAATTCCAGTATCTCTTCTAGCTGATACTATCGCTTCTCTCATGGCCAAGGGTACGACAACACCCATGCAAATTGGAGGCTCGGAGCATGCTTAAAATTTAATTATGAACAATATAAATCAATATAATAGAGTCAACTTATTGGTATAAAATAAAAATATGCAATATATGGAACATTAGCTTTTGCCCGCGGCTCCGTTCACAATGTAAGCGGGACTTGATGTCCTTCTATGTCCTTGCCCAATTCCTTCAACACCTGTTATGCGCTGCTTTAAGCATAACAATTTAACTAAATATTATAATATATAGTAGGATATAATACAAAGCACAATAGTTATAATAGGATAAAATATAGGATAACGCTTCTCATTATTTTTGTTACTCTCGAGACACTATAAATTAAATATAAACAAACAAATCTTGGATATAATAACAAAACCTATATTTCAGTATATTAAAAAATCTATTTATACATATAATAAAATTCTAAGTCGAATCTGTACATTAAAATTTTTTTTGGAATATCTTATTGAAATAATCATTATTATAAGTACAGAGGCTGCATTTACTCATTTTAGAATTATATGTCTGTCTGTATTGGAACGTATCACGAGAAATCCACTAGACACAGATTTTGATGAAATTTGGTTTGATGATAGCTGGTTATCCGGGTCAACACATAGGATACTTTTTACTGCAGCAAAATATCTCATCACTAAGAAATCTATACTAATCGTTAAAACGTACCTAGGGGCGTAAATCCCTTCTCTTAAAATAAAAACAAATAAACAATAACGCAGAAACTACATTTAAAAATATTAACTTAAAGCAGCAATGTAAAATAACTAACATTGTTTCTTAGAACAAGAGAAGACATGAAAACAATTTGGCAGCGAAAATACCTTTTGATCCTAAAATAACATCATAGCTGTAAGATCTCCTAGAGAAATAGACGTTAAATATTGTTGGTATGTCCGTTCCTTCAGGCACAAAGTAATTCCAGGTCCTGTCAGTTAATAGCTCGCCAGTGTTAGGATCGTACACCAGTTCTTCCATAGTGTGATATCCCACACCTTGTATAAAAGCTCCTTCCAACTACAATAACAATATTATATTATAATACTAGCGACTCACCTTCGCTTCGCTCGGGTTCGTCCTTAGCTTGATTCCCCATACAAACTTCCATCCCCATTTTCACGCCCTTACGGGATGATTTCCGGGATGAAAAGTATCCTATGTCCTTCCTAGTGTCCTCAAACTATCTTCTCAGAAAATAACATCTAAATCGGTTCAGTAGATCTAGAGATTACCCCTTACAACGTCACAAACTCACAATTCACAAACTTTACCTCTTTATAATATTAATATAGATGTACAATTGTACATTAATTAATACAATTATTTAATAATAATTGTATGATAAAATTATAATTTTCAAGTTAATTAAAAAAAAGCTAGTATTACAATAGAGACATAATTTATTAATACTTTTTATCTTGGGAAAATATCTCAAGTTTTATGCGAAAACAGGATACTATACACAGGAAATTTTTATTTACTTGCGTTATATTATTTAACTTAGGACAAGACCGAAGCGAGGTTGCGTTACGAGTGAAAATACATTTTTTTTTAAATCATATAATAAAATTGTAACTAAGTCGAATCTGCACATTAAATATTTTTTGGAAAATCTTATTGAATTAGTCATTATTATCGATACAGAGTACGAATCTATAGTTTTTAGAATTTTTGTCTGTCTGTCTGTTTGTTACCGCATCACGACAAAACCACTGGACATATTTTGATGAAATTTGGTATGATGATAGCTGGTTATCCGGGTCAACATATAGGATACTTTTTACCGCGGGAAAATATCTCATTTCTAAGAAAAAATACAAAAACTGCATTGTAAGAGTATACTAATATGTAAAACCTAAGAATTTGGTTTTTGGTCATCTGAACGCGAGTGGAGCCGCGGGCAATGCTAGTAATACTATAAAATTTTTGTGTTACAAATTATCCAATAGGAGATTTATTGTTGTTGACAATCGCAGTAATATACGCCTGGTTCCAATAGTTACGACATTTAATATAATGAACGCAATATATTAAATTAACTGATGGATCTTTCACAGTTCCTGTTTAATTAAATAAGTACATACGTTAATAATGTTAATATTATACATATTTGCTATTACTCTTGCAGGACAATGAAACATGCTGAGTAGTCGGCTACTAAAAGTTGTCTATATTATAGTAATTATTTTTAAAGTAGATTCTAAACTCGGACTTTTAGTTCATAGCTTAGAACAAATTAGGCATGTTTATGCATTATTATGTTTAATACTAGCGACTCACCCTTGCTTCGCTCGGGTTCGTCGCTAGTTTGCTTCTCAATACAAGCTTTCATCATCATTTTCAAACCCCTTGAGGGATTATTTCCGGAATAAAAAGTATCCGATGTCCTTCCCAGGGTCTCAAACTGTCCTATCTTACCAAATTTTATTCAAATCGGTTCAGTAGATCCTGAGATTACTCCCTACAACATCACAAACTTTAAATCTTTATAATATTAAGTATAGATTAATTTTGTGAAAGATAAATAAGTAATATTGAGAAATTATTTATGTTATTGTTATGAATTTATGTATTTTGTGTCAAAACTTTCGATCAACAATACTACTAGATAATGTGTCACATAAAAATCAAAGCTAAATTCAGTCCGCGCGAATATGCGAAACAGCTACATTTGTATACTAACGAACCAAGACAAAGTCTTATAATAGTTTTATTTTCAATCTCCATCAACACCATAGCACCTTGTAATAAAGTCACAAACCTCCAAATTACGATCATTTCGTAAGTTTTATAATCTTTATTGTAAAATCAACCTTATATCAAAACACTCAAAGAACTTTTTCATGTTGATGCTTTGTGAGCTAAATCGTTGTTTTGTTTCTGTTTGCTTCTTAGAATTTGCGCATGTATTGGCCAACCTTTTATTTTTTTTAACGTTGGGAAATGCATTTACGCACGACGTGTGGGACTCACCGGCGTAATACAGCCAGTACTACCCACTAAAACCCAACAAAACCTTCCCCCGTCTTAATGGGGCGTCGCAGGATCGCTTACGCATTCAACTACGACGCCCCGACGGCAGGTCTGCCGAAGCAGACCACCAGAACCATGGAGTTGCTCCACAGTCCACTCTGCTATCAGAGAAGTACTAGGAGCAACCCGCATGGTATACCGCCCCCCAAGAGGGCCACCTCCCACCGCCCACCGAAGTGGGCAACCTCCCTGTGCGTTTCTTAGCTTCGCGCCCGGTTGGATTGCCGGGCACTACTGAGCCCCTCCACCACGACAAGGTGAACGCACGTTGGGGGGGATGTATTGGCCAACCTGAGCCAACGTACTTAACGGATTTAAAATTGTTCAAAATTTCATTTTTATATTATTTTGTAGGTTAAATTTTAAAATATTGATTTAATCTACATGTATTTACCGAAAATAAGACACTCCCTCTGAAAAACTTCTTCTTCGTGCATTATTTTTGTAACTTTTAAATGCATATTGCGGCATTGTGAACGTCTTTACGTTGGCAGTGTTTTAATAGAACTAATCGAAATATACGATCACTTTGCAAGTGAGCTTATATTTACCAAGACGGATTTCTTACGCCAATCCGATATCTAGTAGTATTGTTGAACGAAGGTCAAAACGTAATAAAATCAGATTACTTACCTACTGACATTTGTGAACTTACCTGTCCAATATCAATTGCTGGACTAACACTCCTCCCTACATCTTCTATCAAATCAACTTGAATCAATTGCCACTCTCCTGTCAGAATATCGACTTCTACTTCTGCTAAAGTAACTCCATAAACGTTGTATTTAAATGTATCATTAAAGTCACAAACACCGTTTGCTTGTAAATTTACTCCAACTGTGTATGCTTTAGCGATAAGTTCTTCCCATGTTGGATTAGCCATTTCTGCTTTTATAGGTTTAAGTCTTTGAAGTAACTGTTCACAGCATCTTTGGACACCAATAGCTACGCTTTGAGAGGTCAAGCTTGCCGCTGTAGAGGAATTATTAGGGTTTGCCGTAGTGCTACTAGGTTTGACCTTAATTTTACTCATGGGAATGTTAAGATAGTAAGCACATACTTGAATCGCTTTTGTGTTTATTCCTTGTCCTATTTCAACACCACCGTGAGTTATGGCCACTGAACCATCCCCATGATACACTGACAATGTGATGTTTAAGAGGAAAGGTTCCGAACTTTGCCAATTCATCAGAGTAAATCTTAATCCACGTTTCTTCCATCGATTACTTGAATTATAGCTCTCAACTATATCTCTTCGTTTTGCATAATTAGAATTAGTCTTGATAGTTTCAATCATTTCTAAAATATCAGAAAACTGGTCTGTGTCTAAATTATTCAAACGGACTTCTAAAGGATCTAAGCCTAATTCATAGGCTACTCTTTCCATTATTATCTCGGTTGAATGGATACTCTCTAAAGCTCCTATATAATTATTAGACAAGAATTTCATATTAGTCGTAACATATACTACAATAAACATTTTATAAAACATTTAAAGTTATACCTTGTGAACGAAACCAGCTGTTTGAAGGAGTATCAGTAATAGTATTAAAGCTACGGAAATTCCATCTTTCTTTTTTATAGCAATTATAATAGGTACATGCTGTAAATTGTATTAGAAGTTCATTTACAATATAACCATTATCATTATAGATGTCATAATTTAGATACTGGATTACGCCATTTCGATCTACACCGATCTGAAATCATTTGAATCACTATTATACTTAAGGTGTGTTCGAATCGAAATACCTTTTAATAAAATTAAAATAATTATGTGTTTTTAAATTTTTATTTACAATATTTGCCTTTTTAAGTCCAGGGACACATCATATCATGTGTAAATATTTATTTTATTATCTTTCATTGTTAGTACTTACTTCATAATTAGTTGAAGAGGGCATTCTTTTTCCAATAGCTCGAGTTTGAATTGTGAGGGGCATAAGAAATCTGCAAGGTCTGTTTAGCTTGTATGCAACTAAACTGCAAGCCGTTGTAACTAAGGTCTGCCTAGATAATTTCAGACCGAAACTACCACCGACTCGACGTACTTCTATATCAATGCTAAAATATGTGTTGCATTGTATCAATTGAATTCCATTCGCTTATTTATTTTATTACTAGTAGAACCCGCAACTTCGCTAGCGCTATAACTACAAAAAAATCTCTAAAAAGCTATGCTTCATACAAACTTTCATCCCCTATGTACTCTTACTTACTCCCTTATAGGATGAATTTCGAAAAATGCTAAAACATGTATTTATTTAGTTTTATTGAAGAGCATGAATGCCGAGTTTCAAGTAATTCTGATCCTAAATAAATGCATTTGCATTGTATTTTAACGAGTTTTACCTTAAAAATTAGATAATCATCCGCAATAAAAAGTAGCCTATGTCACTCTTTATAGGCAGTGGTAGCCTAGTGGTAACGCGCTCGCTTGGGAAACCGAGTGATGCGGGTTCAAATCCCGGGTCTCGCACCTCTGATATTTTCACGAGCGAATGATTTTAGCATGATTACCACTTGCCTTACGGTGAAGGAAAACATCGTGAGGAAACCTGATGTCTGAGGGATATGTGAAGTCCGCCAACCCGCACTTGGCCAGCGTGGTGGACTATGGCCTGATTCCCTCGTATTAAAGGGAGGCCCGTTCACAGCAGTGGGTCGTTAAAAAGGGCTGAATACTATGTCACTCCCCAGCCCTATAACTATCTACATACAAAAAATACTCCAATCCGTCACACTATTTCGGCATGAAAGAAGAATAAACAAACAAACAAACATAATTTCACATTTATAATATTTAGTATGAATTTTGCATGAGATTAATCATGAACTTATAATTATACTAGCTTACCTATTCTGGTCTATGTTCAGTGATCGTGATATCATCAATTGATCAGCATCTATGTAATGTGATGTAGAACTAACTTTGAGTCCATCATCAGTCGGCCAAGATACACAAGCCATATTCTCCAAACAAAAATGATATTGACCGAATATAGTCTCTTCACCTATAAAAATAAGAAAAAGAAGAATATATACAAAATACTTTCTTAGATTTACGCGAATACTTGACATTTTAAATAAAACTATCTTTTCGGATTTTTTCGCGAATTTATTTTGATTTTTGGTTCCCGACGTTTCGAATGTTTTACAGCAATCATGGTCACGGGAGAGACTGAGGTGTTAGATGTCTCTAAGGTATTATATAGTTGTTACAGACAGCCTACCCACAATTAACAAAATGAATTTAAAAATTGAAAAATGGCATGGCAAATTCGCGAAAAAATCCGAAAACGATATATACTTTAATTTGAACGCTTAAAAATGAAACAAATTATACAAGACAAACAAACCCAATTATCAGGGACCACTGAGCAAAGAAGACTTAAGAAAAAGAGCAGGAATCTATTATTATAAATGTGACAGTTTTATGTATGTGTTACTAATTACTATGTATTATACGATAAGACGTCTGAAAGGATTTGGATTTGAAGGATGAAATTAAGTATACAGATAGACTATGATCTCTAATAGGCCATATGCTATTCTTAGTAATAAAATTTGAAAAAATGTGGCGCTGCATGTAAATAATGTTATAAATATAAAAGGCACACAATGATACACTCGAGAGAAACGAGGGTAAATTGCTAGTATGTCCATAATAAAATTAAAAACAAATAAATAAAATAACCAGTCAATTACAATCATATTACTCATTGAATACGTATGTACTACCTTTAATCACTTTAACAATATTATTTCCACGACTCGTTCCCTTTATCGATCGAAATAATGTAGTTTTTTGTGTACTATTTTTATTTATTCTTATATCAATTCTTGGCTTGGTTACATTACGATATGTTACTTTCACAAGCAATGCCGCTTCATTTGCTATATCCTTTGATTCTGCTACAAGAATTCCCAATGGTTGATTGAAATAACAAACTTCACCACTACAAAGAATTTCCTCATTTGTCAAACTATTAGGATCTTCAGGCGCGGTGAATGAATTAATACCAGGAATATCATTTGCGGTGTAGAATGCTATTACTCCTGGCCGTTCCTAGAATTATTTCAAATATATTTATTCATATGTTTATGACAAATTTACATTAAAATAAATTCTATTTATTGGTATTATAATTAGGTACCCACCAAAGCTTCTTTAGGATCTATACTATGTATCATTCCTTTCCAAACTGAGGTAAGCACAAATGTTGCATATACTTCTTTGGGCAATTTGTGCAAGTCTTCTGCATAAATAGCTTCTCCTGCACATTGAATCTTAAAATAGTAATTGAGTAATGAGTATGTGTAGTACATTCTTTTAAAATATAGAGAATGTATAAATAAAACAAATAAAATACGTTCTTAGATTTACGAGAATATTTGACATTTTAAATAAAACTATCTTTTCGGATTATTTCGCGGATTTATTTTGATTTTTGGTTCCCGACGTTTCGAATGCTTTACAGCAATCATGGACACGGGAGAAAAATAAAATTATAACGTAATTTACTCGTGTAATTGTTTTAATTAATATAAATTATATATTCATATAAGGTGATTGTAGGAGTAATAACTCACTAACTACCATATTGGATATAGAATGTCATTTGGATATGCTCCTCCTGCATTGTTACCGAAACTAAACGTGTGCGCTATATTTCACCTCAATACGTTGATAAATTATTTCAAAGCTGGCAGGCTTATTGCGCATATTCACACCCACACACAAACAAGTGAACTTAAATAAAAGCTTGTAACACCTTCTACATAAAGTTATACGTTTGAGATTTTACATTACGAGCGCGAGTTTAAGCAAAAAGTTTTTATTGTATTACTTTTTAATATTGTTGTATTATATAAATCAAAAATAATATATAAAAAATATATATTATTCTTAAAAAATGGTTAAAATTAATAAAATAACACAATTTACCAATGCTTCTACTTTGGTTACTGGTTGATTGATTGGCCACATTGTAGGGTCAGATATAAATATCTGAGAACCTTTAGATACTGGATGAGTTTCATGTAAACTTACAGCACCAGACTTGTAATTTAAAATCAATATGTCATCTGGACATAGTTGTAAGAGATCCTAAAACATGAAGCATCAAAAGTTATTACTTTAGGTTAAATTTCTATCATGTCATAGGCTTGAAGAATTGAAGCATTAAACTACAAAGATACCTTATAAAATAGTCCAAGAGCTAACTGCTTTCTATATTGGACTGAAGAATCAGATGCATTTTCTTTAACAACAAGTTCTTGGGATAAAACTGTACTAGCGTTTTTCAAAGTACTGTTTTTAAATAATATTTTCCCTAATAACATATTCTCAGTATTTTTAGCTCTTGAAAAGTTTGGAGATAATCCACCATAGGCAATTCGGCATTTCTGGACCGTATTATTTTGACTTAATTTATAGAAAAACGCAGCATTTACTATGGCATATGCGTTTCTTGGTCGAGCAGAAACCTGAAAACTTTACAAATATATGATTCGTTGTAAAAATAATACTTAATCATACAATACATAGAAATACAATCTTTTTTTATATAATACAGTCATATTAAGAAATTCTCTTTTTGAAGTAAAAGAATAAGTAATTATAAGAAAATATATTAAATAAAATTTTATACTGAACCGGATCCTATAATAATTTAATAAACTTCTGTTTATTAAATTATTATAGGATCCGGATGGAAGGAAGTACATATTATGGTTAGTATTTTTTTCTTTTACGAGAAATAAATCTTTTCTCGCGTGATGGCTCAGTAAGCTTACATGCTACGTGTATACATGCTGTTCATAACGGAATTCTATTTGCTTATATTTAAATAATTGTGGGTAAATTATGTAAATTTTATTTCACGATTTATATTATTTATATTTATTTAAATAAATTACACTCATAAAATTAAAAAATTTTACAATACCTTAAAAGAGACTAATTTATTTTCTCTACTAAATGGTGGCATCAATATATTCTTTATTATTTTACCTTTCATATTTTCAGCTAAAAAGTCTTTTATTGTCACACTTTTTGTTACATCTGGAGTTAGCACTGAAAACGAATAATTAATAAAATATTTTTGGACATAATAATAGTTATTTAAATTTTATTATCAATACAAGCATACGCAAATATTTTTGGGATCAGTCCGTAAAGTGATTTAAAAGGGGGTTATTTGTGTGGAATTTCGTCATTTTTGTCATAACAAATATGAAAATAGATATTGAAGCTTTCATTTACAAAAAAAATATAATATATTAAATAAACTACTACTCACATATATTGACCTCCGCACCTATAGCTTGTAAAAGGAGAAAAATATCTGATGGAAAATTACGGTGCATATGTTTTAACATAAGGTTACCTGCTATCGTACCAATCTATAATAAATTGTTAATCAAAATTAATATACATTTTACAAACAAAATGTAAGTATAAAATATTAATTATTGATGTATTATTTGCATCTATATTCTGGCTAACGTGACCTTGGCGAAGTAATCTTTGCTTGACTGACACGTTTTGAAGCCATTAACAAGATAATTGTATTGAATTTATTGTGCTTATAATACAATAGCGGCTCAACCTCGCTTCACTCGGGTTCACTTCTAGCAAAACAAAAACAAATCTATCTCACGGGAATCGTGCATTTTTCCGGGATAAAAAGTAGACTATGTGTCATTTTAATGTATGAGCTACATTATTGTAAAGTTTTATTTAAATCCATTCAGTAGTTTTTGCGTGAAAGAGTAACAAACATATTATATCTATACATCCAGACATCCATACATCCTCACAAACCTTCGCGCATTTATAATATTAGTAGGATTAGTAGGTTACTATGGAGTATCGTTATTGCAAATTTTAAATAAATACAATAAAATATACTTACAAAATATTATTATATTTTTAAATAGTTTTAAACTAACCCAACTTTAACCCGAAAGTTTGCTCAACTGGGTTAAATCATCGTCGATAAATTGGATCAGCAATTTTTTAATAAAGACGACATACGAGGAATCGTAAAAGGTTGTCTGTCGATTTTGATAATTTTAGTTAGTATAGGTCAAAAAGGAACATCGATTAAAATTAATACAAATGAACGAATGAATGAAAGATTTTTCATAAGGTTTTGTACAAATTGTATAAGAAATAATATATAAAAAGTGATACGTAATAAATACATAATAACAGTTTACTCACATTTCTAATAGCTACATTAGCTACTAATTCTAAATGGTTGATGACAACTTTTAAATAATCAAAATATTCTGTATCAACCGCTTCTTTCAATATTTCCATAAATTCTGTGAGAGTATTCCCAGCACCAATGCTCAAATTCTGATCAATAAAATATCCTTTTAGTTCTGATACTGTACTTATATCTATTAAAATTTTCGGATTTCCTTCTATAGGTTTCACTCCTGATATATGTAAAAAAAAACATACTTTTTAGTTTTAAAGTATTTCATTTTAATGTTTGTAGCTAGTTTAAAAATTACCAAAATTTCATTCTTTTAAATAAACATATATAGGTAATATTTTTGCACCTAAGGAATATTTTTTCCTAACTTTAGTAAGATATAGAAATTCTACCTTTGCCAGTGTTACCAGCTACCAACATATAAGAATCATCTCCATTTATTCTAAGAACATAAAATATGTCTGCCACACTTTGAGCTCTGTACCAGTGTTTACCATCTCGTAGTACAATATGCAAGATATTATGCTCAATATTATCTTTGGACACAATACACCAATCATTTTCATTGCATGTATTTTGTGAGCAAATGCTTTTAAGCTCATCACCAGGATCCATAATATCTTCAATATCAAATATTTTAGGTTTAGAATTCGCAAGCATCACTTGCGAATTTTTTAAATGTTTCCAAAATTGGTCTGTACCCCGTACACCGACATATATTACCGGACAGAGATTTTTCAATGTCTAGCATTTTCAATTGTTTTTGACTCTTTAATAAGCTGAAAGAAATAATCTGTTCTCATTATTTATGTTAATACTAGCATTGCCCGCGTTCAGATAACCAAAAACCAGATTCTTAGGTTTTACATATTAGTATACTCTTACAATAATTTTTTTGTATTTTTTCTCAGAAATGAGAAATTTTCCCGCGGTAAAAAGTAATGTTGACCTGGATAACCAGCTATCACCATACCAAATTTCATCAAAATCCCTTCAGTGGTTTTTTTGTGATGCGATAACAGACAGACAGACAAAAATTCTAAAAACTATAGATTCAGCCTCTGTGTCGATAATAATGTCTATTTCAATAAGATTTCCCAAAAAATATTTAATGCACAGATTCGGCTTAGTTACAATTTTATTATATGTATAGATGAATAAAACGCTAATAAAAGTATTAAAACGATATGTTCATCCAATTAATAGACTTAGTGGATCAACTTTAAAAAAACAGGCCGTTTTAAAATGATTAAAAATAATTTAAATAAATGTTACATATTTTACAAACCTGTATGCAGACATGACGAATGCTGGACTACAATATCCACATTGAGAGCCGTTCCCTTCAGCAAGGGCTTTTTGCAGAGGGTGGTATCCTTTAATTCGATTCCCTAATCCTTCAATAGTTGTGATTTCCCAATCATGGCATGACAAGATTAAAATCATACACTGTGAATATTAATATACTGATATAGAACATGTACTCTGTATACATATACGCGTGTATGGACATGGACGAGTAGCGCATTTTAGTTGAGTTTGAGAGATTCCAATAATGGAATTAAAAAAATCATAACAAGTCAATTTTGAATACTTTTACGAACTAAGATAGACATAATAGACGAGGAGATTTTGTTTTATATTTGTTATAATATAGAATTTTATGAGAATCAGTCTATTTAAATTGATAATAAATGGCTGAAAATATTGAGAAGATCAATAAGATGTGATCATCAAAATGATGTTATTACGAGTATTTGTATTGGTATCTTCCAAACTATAATATATGTAAACTTTCTAAAAACTTACAGAATTTACAACCTCTGGTAAAGAACCAGGTGATTTCTGGACACACACTCTGCAAGCTCCGCAACCGCCTTCTAAACACATATACTTCGTCCCTCGGAGCTCTAAATATTCCCGTAAGAATTGAAGAAGGGTTATGTTGGTGCTTAATTCGTTTCCTACTACGTAGAAAAAAGTTAATTTTAAGTTAAGTTAATTTTAGAAATCTCTAGCAATGAATTATGTTTTCCTAACATGTTTTGGTTACAATCTCATTTCGGGCAAATCTCATTGTGACTACAACTAAAACGACAGTTCCACACGACCGGTAAGAGATCAGGCGTAGAACCAATGTCTTTACGTGATCTCCGATTCACAGGTATAACATCTCATCTGCCTGAATACGACAGACATAATATATTAAACCCAATAACAAGACCGACCCGTATTCGATTTTAGAGACTTACGATCCTAAGCCGTAAGTAAGTCCTAGCACTAAAACAGCATTAAGAAAATAAATGGGTAAAAATATAACTATATTTCAATTAATAACAAGCATTAATAGAGATAGAATCAAGTTGGAGCTGCAGTGAAGAAATGTAGAAAACGATGCTGTCGTTTTCTTCACAATATATTAAAAAAACCTACAATTTTCGCGCGACGTCACTAATCATATTATTATCAAGTCAGAAAAAGATCTTGCCTTGGGAAGATATGTATGTAATTTTATAATATTTTCTACTTAGCAGCTGTTTTTAGGTAATTTTATATTGTTATATTTACAATATACAACAAAATCTTCAAAAATATCAACAAAAAATTTACTTTATACCAATTATAATCACTAACCAGAAAATTCTACACCATTTACTTTAAATTTAACACAGGCCATGACTGCTTTTCACGAATATTGCTCGTGTACAGTGGTATAAAATAACTGTTACAGCTTTTTAATGATTATTTTATCGACCATCGCACGTCTCCACAAGGTCTCGTAAACAATTAAATAATTCGAAAAGTATTTAATACTGTCTTTAGAGTATAATAATTATTTTAAAATAAGCAAATTATACGTCGACAATTTTGTAAGGCATATCAAGAAAATACGTGAATAATTCCTGTTAGTAGAGAGTAGGCAATTGATCTTTTTTACTCTAACTATGATAAAAAATATTCAGATCAAAATTTTAAAAGAACATAACCTTACTACCTCATTTGTATTTTCAACAAATAAAAAAATACGTTCCAAATCTATATTTTATAATGTAAATTATCAATCTTTTGGATGAAATACCGACATAATAATTGATAGATTGTTTGATATGAGAAAAAAAATCAATTATCACGTATTAATAACAATACTTCTAAGTTTAAACTTATTATTCTACGCCTTTACTATATTCTATGATGGAATTTGTAATTATTTAAGTAAAATGAATGAAAATATTGTGCGAAAAATTAATAGCAACACTAATATTTCAAATACGAAACTGTATTATAGTAAATGAGCTGATAAAATATTGAAGAAGAATTTTAATACACTGTACCTACGCGTACAATACTTATAAAATTAAAAGACAATTAAAAGGCAATTGGTCAATGCTTTTAGTTTAACAATAGAACTAACACTCTCATTCTTTTTATGTGGTATAACTATTTTAGTTCCGAGAGCATCTTTAGAAGAAGTCCGGTTAAAATGAACACTTTAACTTTATAATAAAAATATTATATAATAGCTTAGAGGATTTTTAAATATCAAATATATTAGAGTTTAGTGATTTTGAATGAAATGGCGTACAATAACTAATTTTGAAGTCGATGTACCTTTGTAACTAATTATTTTTTATTTAAAAAATCTAAGATGTAATTACTTTATCCTTAAAGTGATTTTTTTTCTTCAAATGTTTGACGTATAATCCTCTTATTTAAAATGTAACTAGTATTTGCCTAGTGGTCGAAAATCGATCAAAACTAATATTGAAAATTTGAGGAAAATATATTATATGAATACAATTTATCTGTCAAAATAAAAAAGTCCTGTTTTCAAATTTTCATTTTTTATTGATGAAATTAAAGCTTGACAATAGCTACCAAACAAAAAAAAAAGAAAATCGGTTGATAAGCAGAGTAGAAAAAGGTACTGAAATGTTTTGTCTTTGCCTATTTATATATAATAGAATATAGATTATGAAAATCTATTCACAGTGGGTAATATAATTATCGCGTAACATTCACACAAACACATAAAACCAAATTAAGTACCGCTTTCTTTTTGACGTCTGTCAAATTGTAAAAAGTGTAAACGAACATTTGCCATTTGCTAAAATAACCGTTGAAGTTATCAGAACTTGTTAGGCGATAGTCCAGTTCTATTTTGTCGTGATTTTCGAAGCGAAGAAACATATTTTGGAGGAATATTTGCGAGGATTGGTTCACCTCAGGCCGGTCCATGCAGATTGCTCCTGGTATTTCTCTGATAACAAAATGGACTGTGGGAGTAACCCCATGGTTGTTGTGGTCTACTTCGGCAAGCTAACCTAGCGTCGTGGTTAGCGCAGCGATTCTGCAACGTCTCATTAGGACCGGGTTCTGCTGAGTTTTAATGGGTAGTACTGCCTTCTATACCTGGTGAGTTCCCAACTTTGAAAAAAAACGTCCAGTTATATTGCCCAATAATTTCTATCTATTTTTATCACAGTTAGACCGTGGCCTAGATTTTAAGTTAGATACTTTAGACGACACTATCACTGGAATATACTTTAAATCGAGCTTGATTTATTATCGTCCGTTAAGTACCTCTATTGTTCTTCAGAATGTCATTGGATATAACAGTGTTCTGCTACATGAACAAAAACATAATACTACTGCACAAATAAAGCCATATATATAAAATTGTAACTAAGCCGAATCTGTACATTAAATATTCTTTGAAAAATCTTATTGAAATAGACATTATTATCGATGCAGAGGCCAAATCTATTGGATTTGAAATTTTTGTCTGTCTCTCAATCTGTTTGTGACCGGATCACGGAAAAACCACTTGAGGGATTTTGATGAAATTTTCTATGATGATTGCTCGGTATCTAGGTCAATATATAGTATACTTTTTATTGCGGGAAAATATAGTATCTATGAGAATTCTATGCTAAGCCTTAAAACGTTACTAGGGACAAACCCGGGCGGAGCGAGAGTGAGTCGCTAGTCAAACTATAAATATATTCATATGGAGGAACACAGTTAATCGAATGGAAGTAGATAACTTTGAATAAAAAATGTGTCACGTAGATTGCCCTATTTATCATGAAATTCTGAATAAATAACTAACATTGCTAAAACATATGATCAAGATTTATTTAACAAATTTTTAAATTAATTTACTTAAAAATATATTTAATTTTACTCAACTAAAATATCATCGCTAATAATACTTTCTTAGATTTACTCGAATATTTGACACCAAATAAAACTGTAAGCAACAACTGTATATATAATAAAACCTTATATTAAAACCTTTGAGATGTCTAAAACCTTAGTAACCGTGACTGCTTTAAAGCATTCCACTAAAACATTCCACAAAATGTCACTATTATGGCAATTTGAAATTAAAATATAAGTCATTCAAAGATGAAATTGTTACCATTTTGTTTTCAGAAGCATGTTTTTGAATCCGTAGAGTTTTTGATTCAATTATGTATTAATACTGTTATAGTTTGCTTGAAACCAGATGAAGATGAAAGAGTCCAATAATAATCTAATACTATTGAAGTTTATAAAGGAGAATAGTCTTAAAACATTTGAAAAGGCGCACAATATCCTGAAATGGTTCAGAGAACATCTGTAATAAAATCATCGTAAAAGTACATTTAGTCGAGCTG